ATAAACATAAACATTCACAATGCATTTTTTCGGAAGGGTACCAAACATTTTGTGCATGTTTGACCCATACCCTGGGCCATTCCAGGTGCTTTCGAGCTGGTCAAGGCCATTTCTCTGCGGCCCCTTTTCAGAGGCAACCCGCAAGTGAAATGCTGGAATGATGGTGATGTAGGGGTAAAGGTATTATCTCAAGGCCCAGGGTAGATTATTGCGGTCTATCTCTGCGTTTCGGGTGGCCGCTGGACGAAAGGATGGGAGGCCTTATTTCAGGCTAGTGAATTATGATAATTTACTATAATTTAACCAGATATAGTGCAGATATTGAAGTTCTGCGAATTTCTTGAGAGTTAGAAGTAATACTGGTATGATGCTATTGCTACAGCAATAATAAGATCAACTAATATCTAAAGATATCTAAAGGGTATTATGCATTTGGATAATTTAACTCACCAGTTGCCATTGCCAGCCACAACAACATATAGAGTTTCATGAGGTGTTTGCCACTGCAAAAGTTTGCTTGTAATATCTCATTGACAGATATCATAGTTGCTATACATCAACATCATCATCATCATCATCATCAGCCTGATCAAAAGTCTTTACTGTACTACGATTTGTTACACAGCACCAAGGGGTTGCATATCTGTTCTACTTGTTCTTGCACCCCAGACTCTGCGCTCCTCAGAATTTCCAAGAAGAAGCGCATATCTTGGGGACGTTGTGCCAGGAGATCTCGTGCCAGCCACTGCGTGCTGCTCCTAGGAAAGATCATCAGTGGCAGCTGCTATTGCAATCTTTGCATCAAAGACTATACAAGAAGGATCCATGATTGAAAAGAACTGCTTGGAGAATTCAGTAGGGGTGACCAAATCTGTGACTTGTTCTGGCAAGCTGTTCTCGAAGCATGGAGGTTCAAAGAGGTCACTTTCTGTTGGGCGAGAAGCTGGCATTGATTTTGGAAAGATTTGGAAAGATTGTAAGATTACCCCAACCTGAACATGTTTGGGAGAATGGCAGATGATTGCATTCTCCTTGAAAGCCTCCAAATTCTCCAAAATTATCGCAAAAGGAATGACGTAAAGTAAAATGCTGACTCGCGTGCAATGAGCATCAATTACTGTATTATCAATTATCCTCAATGATCATCAACTACCGAGCCTTTGAGTGGTCAAAATTCGTCCGGCTGAAAAAAAAAACATCGCTTCCCTTGGTCACGATTCGTCACTGAGGCCTGAAGCCCCAGCTCCTGTAGCTCCGATGGCCAATGGTGGTAGCCAGGTGGGGACATCTCGGGGCACGGACCGCTAAGGGCGATCAAGGAACAGCACCCAAATTTAATGAAATTCCACTGATATGATATAATATAATATGAATTAATATGATGCATATTCATAATCAATATATATTTATATATTTATATATATATATATAATGATATTCAAGTCATGATTAGCCGCATGAACAGTGCTACAAAATGAAGAGAGAAACTTGAAATGTAATTACTGACAAGGTAAGAAAATTATCCAGGACTAAATGTTGGGATATGTTAGAGTTTGTCAAAGGTTTGCTGACTTAGTTGTGTTTCCAAGCCACACCAGAGAGTGGTAATATGTAAGTTATGTTCAGCCTTATACAACCTTAGATGTGGAACTCGTTGGTCGTAAGAGCATCCAGACGTTGTACGAATAGTTGATATGGTTGGGTCTCACATATCCTAAGATATGAAAGATATTACAACTGGATTTGTTGAATGGTATCACGCTATTATGTGCCGATACATGTGAATGTAAATATATACATGTCGATATATATATATATATGATACGATATGTGTGCTTGATTGAAATAGGGCATGACCATTGTAATTGTCTAGGGAAACTGATGATCAACTGTCAAAGTTGGGTTTTCCAAAATGTCAGACAAACCCATATTTGTTTCAAATGATTGATCATGTTTGTATATATATATATATACGTGTTATATGTATTGAGATATTGTCCCTTATATATTAAATCCCCTATCATATCCCCATTACACCCTCAGGAAAAATGTTTAAGTCCAAATTGATTAGTGTTAGTATATTATATATATTATATATACTATATTATAATATGTATATATATATACACAATATATATATATACAATATAAATATATATAACATACGCGTACATTGTACATGATGTTTGCTTCTTTGGCAGGGGTCAAAAACTGGATGTGGCAGGAAGCTCCCAAGCCTCGGCAGACGCGCAGAGCATGCAGGCGCTGGTTATGCAGCATTTCAATGGGCGAAATGCCGATGTTTTGACAGTCCCTGGGGGAAATGAGCGATGCCGATGGAAGGGTTTGAATTCAGGACTAGGATGGGATCACCCGGAGACAGGTACAGCTTCCAGTGATTCCAGTGCAGGTCTGCACCAGAAGATGCATGCTGCAGTTGGTCATGCGCAGGGCACCAAATGTATTCGACATGTTCCAAAAGATCACTGTCCAAAATTTGCGCAATTTGTTGAGATAAAGGTTTACCAATATTGTTTCAAGGTCACTGTCCTTCGCGATTTTCATCCACGACCCGTGTGCAGCTAAGGGAAGATGTATTCTGCACTGCTTAAAAGTGGTAGTTCCTTGTGGTTTCTTCAGTAAGGTTTCTCCTCATGTTGTTTTCACCTTGTTCTGTGCACTTGCTACAGCCTCTCACCTGTGAGTCCTTTTGCTGATGGACAAGCTTAAAATTTAATACTTCTTGTAGCACCCGGTGTAGATTTCACGTACTGATTAGCGGATGACCACAGGTCTACAGCGCAGATTGGTCCCCGCGCAGCGATGTTTTGGCTTCTGCCTGTGGAGATGATCGGATTCGTGTGTTCCAAGCGGAGGCATGGTGCAAAGTTTCGGGTGGGTGGTGAGAATATGCGTCGGTAGAGTTCCACCATGGCTGCATCGGTAAAGGAGAGCTGCGGATTGTGAATGGTTTTTGGGGTGATGCTGACTGCTGACACTGTTGATGCTCTCCCTTGGTCCAGAAAATTGAGCTCGCGCTAAGAATTTGGCTGCAGGATGAGTCGTTGTTGAACTGGGAATGTGTTGCCAATGTCCACCACCTCAGCCGCGGCCTGGAAATCCAACTTAGAAGACATTCCGATAGCATCGATTCCGCCATCGATACCACAAATTGGACCATTGAACAAAGATTGCATGATGGAAGTCTCATGAATAACATGGACTATTCCGCTATTCACGAGAACTTGTGTTAGCCTCATCCAAGACTTCATGAGCTGCTGTATCTCAAGTGCTTTGAAGGTTACATGGAAAAGAAGGAGTTCTACAGGTTTTGTTGATACTGTCTGGATTGCTTGCTGGTTTTATATGTTTTTATGAGAAGGCTCTCTCAAATGCGTTTTTCTGTCAAGTCTTGCAAGCCCCATTTCAGTCTCAGGGGTAAGTTCGTCCCATGTTTGACATTTACAGCAAGCTGAACAGCTTCGCTGCAGCTGGACTAAGGAGTTGGCCCACAAAGGGGACGTCAACTGTGTGGCGTGGGGCCCACAAACTCAGCCAGCATCTTAGATGAACCTGGAAGAGCCAAGCAGAACTCACGGAGTACGTGGGGTTGGTGTGACAAGCCATTTTTCTGTCATAATGACCATGGCTTTACCAAATTGGGCCAGGGCTAGTGTGAACTTTGAACCATCCACTTCCATCCGCTTTTGATGGGGACACAGGTCGGCTCGGATTCCACCTGATTCCACCTAGGTCTGGTTTGAGTCTCCTGGCCAGTGTTGGGAACTTATGGGAACTTACTGATATCTGCTGCCAACTGCCGCATGCTGTCAGCATGGGACACCCTGGGACACCCTGGGACACCCAGGCTGGAGATGATGGAGCTGTTGTGCTCTGGGAATTTGGCTGATCTCACAGATGGAGCTGAAATCCTTTGGCAGCTGTCTGCACCCATATGCGCACGATTGCACACATGTATACTGCAATGAAATGATACAAGTACATGTGTATATAAACATATGAATGATTATGAATGTATAGCAATCTAGTCTTTTGTTGCATTGTTCGTTGCACAATCCTGATTTGAAAAAAGGTTGATTAATATTTCCACTAAATGCTCGGCAGATACGTACACATCATACACATTAGCTTGTGGGCAATGCTGAATTTGTTCTTTCAGGGTGTCTGTGAGTCATTCAAAGGAAACAGCTGCTTGGAGTCTAGAGGTAGCAATAAGACGCCTCGAGGGCCGCTGTGGTCATCGCGTACGTTCAACCGGTTGAATTTCTTGGTTTGGGATGGTTTGGGCATGGTGAATTTCTCCGTGGATACTACTGTAACCCCGTAGTTGCTTTGACATGACGACTCGCAGAATTACATGAACCTTGAATCAAGACATATCAAGACGTTTCGTAGGTTCTGTCGTTGCGCGTCCACTATGGCCACATCAGGGGAGCTTTTTCTCTTGGCGTTTCGCTTGCAGCCAAGACCCAGTGCCGCTGTTGGAGTGGCAAAAGAGTGACGAAGATAGGCGTGAGATGACGTGTGTGTTCAAAGACTCTGGATACCCTGACCAACTAATTGCTCTCCAGGTTTCTTCTACCCAAGGTTCCGGACAGTCGAACCGACCAAAATCAATCTTGTTTTTTTATCGACGGTTGGGCAGCCCTGATTCAGGATACCCTGATTCGGTCTCAATCGCGATCAGCTACAAACGAGCAAAAGGATGACAGATAAGTTGGGGTTGCGCTGCCAACCTCCGTGCGTTCTGATGTTTTTCGCTTGATAAAGCATGTGCAAGTTCCACTGTGGAAGGCGTGAAAATCAAGCGTGGTGTAGAGCCGTTTTGGTTTAGAAAAATTGGATGAAGTTCATACTGCCGACACAGTCGCAAGTGCAATGCTTTTATGTTTAGACATGGCCAGTTCATGATCTTCATGCTCAGTGTACTATGCACGCAGGGTGCCTTCACGATCGCGACATTCTTTTAAGTGCTTCTCTGATTCTTTGTGTTTACGCCAGCCCTAAACGCCATGTGGCGGCTTGCAACGCTTCCTATTGCATGGGCCTGGTGGGACAATGGTCACATGCTTACGGCACTTGTCTGCAGCTGGCCCCTGGACGTCTGTGCTGATCACGGGGGCATTCCACTTGGTAAATGATGGCAAACGCATGAGTTCGTCTGAAGATAGTAATAGGATATTTCATTCCATTCATTTCCATTCCATGACTATCATCATTTTCCCCATGATTTGATGGACATTTAAAATGGATTCAAATGGGATATTCCCCTATGTGCATATATCCGCCAGTTTTCGGGACAAACCCAGCTCGCGAGACTTCGTCGCTGCGTCATTTCAGCAGAACTCTTTGTGCCAAGGCAGAGATTGCACGACAGCAGCTGAGTGAGAATGAGATCAAGACCATCAACGGGCTGCTGGAGGAGACTTTCCGGGGCTCCAAAGACGATTCCAATGTGGGTAAAGTAGTCATGTTTAGAGGATTTTAATGGATTTTAGAGGTGAATCATTGAATCATCCTGTTTTGGTGGTTGATCGTTTTGACCTCTATCCGAACATGGTGTGTGAGGCAATCTGGAGGACTACCCGAAAATATCTTTAAAACGATAGACAATAGATATGAATTATAGATTGAATTAGCATGAATTTCACTAGCTATAGTTGGCCCATATTTGCCAGTGGAACCAGAATCCCTTGTGGTGGCATGTCGGAGAGAAAGAAAGACTACTACATCCAAAACCTACATTCAATACTTTAGATTTTTATCTCAAGCTGCCATGTGCTCATGGATGACATGTTTGTTTCTGTTGAGACTCTCAAGAAGCACCGTCAAGCACCCATCCCGGTTGCCGGTTTCTGAGCGGATCTGATCCATCGTGACGTGCTGCTTTATGTGCGAGGATTGGTCCGATGAATTTCCCGGTACCTCAGATTTGGTCACCGCGGCAGTGTGGCCAGATCAGCTGAAGTGCGGCAGCCACAGCGCCATTTGTCGGCGGGACTGGGAAACCTGGGAAATGTCTCGAAACTCAAGAGCTGAAAGCACAAGCAATCGGAAGTTGGGACTGGAACATGTTGGAATCTCATGTTTTGCAAGGCTTTTCAAGTTCGCACGTTGTTCCAAGTGATGCATCAGAGGGTGAAACTCAAATTCAGAACGAAAACATATGACATGAAATCAGAAAGGCGTCAATTTTGCTGCACAACACGGTTTTGATTCGCAGGCACGCATTGGTGGTTGGATTACATCCATCATCAGTTTCATGACGCAGTAAAGTGTGTACAGCGGCCCATCATTTGTAATGATGAGAATGCCAGAATGAGACGAATCCACAGGGCTGCCAACTATCTCAGGTGAAATTGAATGAGCAAAGTTTGTCAAACAGCTATCAATCCCTGAAATTTGTTGAATTGGATTCAAAATAGTCAATCCCAGCACGTAGGAGCAGTTGGAAAACATCCATCTCTTTGACCCTTGGCACTTTGATGAGACTTGGCTCTACAAGGGTCTCGGCCCATCAGCTTTCCACGATGTTTTAGATGCGAATCTCTGTGGTCTCACGGTTTAGCCAAAGCTGGGCAACTTGAACTGCCAGCCGGGCCCGGCGATGTCATACTGATGTGTACTGAACTTGACTGAACTACATCAATACTCCATCAAACATAAATCTGCAGAGATTTGCCAGAGTTCAACAGACCATCCTTTGTTGTACGAACTTGATGCCACCAGTTCCGGCTTAAGTTGATGGAAAGCAGCCATGATTCTTTCTTGGCCCCTTGGAAGGGACCAGTACTGAGCTGCGTTTGTTCTCAACCGCTAAAGGCTAAAGTATTCATTTTATTGTCCATGTGTTTTGCAAAAATTCTTCTGTGTAACACAGAGTGACTTAGCCGTTTCATTTATTGTATCTCCTTTGATGCAACCAGCAAGATATCTGGAGTTGGTTCGAGGCATTCCCTTTACACCCATCCCGGGTCAAAGAGCTTCCTTGCAACACAGCAGAAGTTGTTCTCGCAGGAAAAACCCTACAATCCTGATGGAATGAAGCTTCCAGAGGGTACTGATCAGTGGATGCCAAATCCATCTGCCTCCTTCACATTGACATCGGCCATAGTTTCCATGGGCACTTGGGCTGGAAGCAGCGCCACTGGATTTGTTTGGTAGGTTGCTACCGCTAGATCGTTGAAGTTAAAATCTTAACCTCTCAGGAAGCAAGGCCAAGCTTGGGTTGATTCTTAGTGATTTGTTTCTGGGGAAGCAAAGTTTAGGGCCGCATGGGTGGTGCAACACTCTCACGGGAATTCAGGAACTTCAAACTCTCGTTTCACATTCAACTTCATGCTGCGATGGGTTCCTTGGTGGCACGGATGGGCAGAAAAGTGGAAGTGCCTGGAGCATCACATGGTGCCACTGCCTGGATTTTCATAATGGTTTGGCCATGCTGTGGTAGGAAATGAATAGAGACTGTGGTTGCTTTGGATCGAAAAGCACCCCCGCCAGATGCCGCCAGCCATTTCAGAATCACTTGCAACTATTGATTTTCTATGCCTCGAATATCTAAATTTAGAACAGTACATGTACCTTGGCTTAGGCAGCACGTCTAATTGCAGATTTGCAAGAGAGGCTGAATACCCATCCAGATGCAAGCGCATTCAGTCAAAAGGGATCAAATGACACTAGCGTCAGAGTGTGTCAAAGTCTTAAATGGTGCAATTTGGAAGTTTGATGTATTTGAGGCACCCCTTTTGCCGAAGCTTCAGCCACACCAAGGTGCTTCATATAGTGGGTATCTGGGCATTGCATTATGCCCCGGTAGAGCCAGCCAAGATGAGCCTTCAAAAACCCTCCGTGGAAAGAGAGATTGCTCACTGAGATCAGGTGACATCCATCAGCCATTGCATACTGCCAATGGATTTTTCAATGATACGAACCGCGGCTATTTACCCAATGGCGATCGAGGAGGTAACAGGCTGGGAGTGCCGATGTTACAACGTGCGCATTTCATTTGTGAACGCAAAGCTGTTTGCTACTCCAATTTACAATGATGAAGTGAATTTCTACAGTCTAGACTGGGAAAGAGGCCAGTTCGATGGATTTGTACATCAGAATCATCTGCAATCAAAACGACAGTTGTGACAAAGTGCAGCACAACTGCAAAAAGTGAGTTCATGCTGCCAGAAGATGATTGTAGTGGACGGTATCATGTCGCGATGTGAATTGTTGGTGTTTGGGACCACCTGCAGGATCCCAGTGCTGAGTCCCTGCGGTGCCAACAACCTGCATTTCTACTGGGATTCAGCAGCTTGTGAGTACCTTTTGAATTGGTCACCGGGATTTGCAGCACCTTGAAAGCATTGGGCCATTGGGATGGTAGATGAGAAGCCAATCTAACTGATAGGGGCAAGTGGCATCAAGAAGAGATGTGGACTGTGGTATTCACAAACTGTTTGCCCCAATTTGTTTACCTTCTACTTGGCCTAAATCGTCAGAAGAAGAAAGAAGTATTGATATAGCACAATACAAGACAATACAATACAGTATATAGTATAGTATAGTATGATATAATATAAAATAATATAATATAATATAATATGACATTAATATATAATATAATGTAATACTAGTATGATATAACATTAATACAATATAGTATTACATAATATACAATATTATATAATATAAGTTATATAACATTAATATAACATAATATAATACAATATAATATGATTTAGTATTACATAATGTAATACAACGTAATATTATATGATTTAATACAATATGATGTAATATAACATGATCTTATATAAGTTATTTAAGATAAGATAAATACAATGCAGTACGATTATATATATATGATATATGTACATATATCGATATAGTTTAATAGCAAACGACTGGAACTGTCTCCTTGAAATGATCATGGAATATCATGGAGCTGTGAGCATTTAGACATTCATATGATTGTGAGTCAGATTGCATCCATATCCATTGCCGTAGCAAGCATGATATGTCAACAATGTTTTTTTAACTAAGGAGCGAGGAGCTTTGACTGCAAATGCCAGCTCTTTGATCGCTGAGCATCCAAAGTGTCTTGATACGTACGTCTAACACGCCATACTCGGCATCACAATGCATCACACACACACACACATGGGTACGAGTCAAAATACAAGGTATGGATCCAGGCCCCGGACCCACACACGATCCATACCCCCCGATCCATACCTTGATCCATACCCCATGATACTGCATGATCCATACCCTTGATGCATACCCTTGATCCATACCCCTGATCCGTACCCCTTTCTCGTTGAAGAAAGACTGATGCTGGCCCTAATGCTGCTTTTTATCCTAATACTGCTTCTGGTCCTCGTACTGCTACTCCCGTTGCTACTACCGTTGTTTCTACCGCTGCCTCCGCTGCCTGAGCTGCCTCCGTGCTGCTGCTTCTGCTGCTGCTGCTGCTGCCACTACTAGTCATCTTCCTCTCAGGAGCTGCTGCTCCTGCTTTCGCTTCTGCTGCTGCTCCTGCTGGTCCTGCTCCCGCTGCTGGTGCTGATTCACTTCCTCCGTGTGCTTCTGGTAGTTGGACAAACGCAACTAGTTGACTAGCTACTAGCAATACTGCAAGTGCACCTTGGACGCTAGTAAGACCGGTTCTAGTTCCACTAGGTGCTTCTTGTACTTCTATAGTGGCGCTATGATTACAATTCCTTCTGTTTCTGCTTTGCCTGGCACGTGTAGAACTAGACCAGGCTAGAAATACCCCGCTCTCTTCCTTCACAGCCATAGCGGGAAAGCCGGCCCATATAGCGTGTCCCGATCCATACCCCGATCCATACCCGTTCCATACCCGATCCATACCCGAACCCAGTCACGCCACAACAAATGCCAATATGAAAGTCCGATTCTATTACTACTTCTACTTCTACTTCTACTGCTGCTGCTGCTTCTACTTCTACTTCTACTTCTACTACTACTACTACTACTACTTCTACTACTACTACTACTACTGCTGCTGCTGCTGCTACTGCTACTGCTACTGCTCCTGCTGCTGCTGCTCCTGCTGCTGCTGCTACTGCTACTGCTACTGCTGCTGCTACTGCTGCTACTACTACTACTACTCCTCCTCCTACTCCTACTCCTACTCCAACTGCAGCTGCTGCTGCTGCTGCTACTTCCATTAGATGGCTATTATTAATATGACTTTTACTAGTACTACTGGTACTGCTACGGCTACTGCGTCTCCTCCTTCTATTGCCACTACTGCTGGTGCTGGTTTTTTTTATTGCTCCCTCTCCTAGCAATGGTAGCAGTTTTAGCAGCAACAGTAGCAGGAGGAGAAGTAATAGCAAGTAGGAGATAGTAGGAGTATCAGCACAGTTTGTATGCTATGATGAGCCCTTACGAAAGGGTACGGATCAGGCACCTTACGTAAGCACTCCCGATCCATAGTATGGATCACCGCGGAGCGGTCCATACCCGATTTTTGACTCGCACCCACATAGGTGTTTAGACCGCATCAGCAGATCCTTTCTATTTCTGCGAAATAGGATGAAATTGCTTTTCAAATTTCTTGAAACTCCATTATAACATATTATAATTATTATAATCCCATGATATCTCCGGTTTTATCCCATGGAATTGCCATAAGTTGGAGTACTCGCATGAACCTTGAAGCAGGTCAAGCTTCAGCGGGCGGTATGACACGGCGCCACTGAACAACTGCTGGTCTGAGTTGAGGCGTTGTCCAGTTGTCCTGTTTCCGGCTGGTAATCCACCGTGGCATAAACGTAAGTACATATATAGAAACGCATAAATATATGGAATGGATCAAAACCTATTACACCATATCGGGAGGAATGAATATCTGAATATCCATTTACCAGCTTTTTTGGGTGCACCAGGGTACCAGGGTTTTGACTCTTTGCCATATGAAAGATCCTGAATTGATCATGTATGTTTGTCTAGTGGGAAGTATGTGACGTTGAAAGAAGCCACACACCCTTGCACAGGCAAACAGGCCGAAAAGACCCTCGCGCATTTGACACCTGTCACCAGGCAGAAGAGTTAGAAGTAATACATGAGTGCCTGTGCCATTCTGTTTGCGTGTCTTCAAAGTGATAGAGCAGATATGAGCAGATCAAATATGGAAGGTTGCCGTTCTGCGCTTTCATGATGATAATTTGATCCTGCATTGATTGTTTTCGTCTTCAAATAGTAGTTCTTGTGCTTCGCCGGTGTAGGGACAGGGGATGAACAGAGACCTTCGAGTGGTAAGTTAGGTCAACGACATTTATCCCTGCAGTTGTTCAATTGCTATTTTTCGTTCCTGCTGGGCTCTTTTGTCCCTCACTGAGGTCAACAAGTCTTTGTGAGCTGGGTCAATGACACTTTCGATACTGCTGTCGCAGGTACAAACAAATGCTTGCTACGACCTCTTGGGCTGCGTTAAAGAGAGGCATAAGTGACATAAGGCGACATAAGTAGGTCTTTGGCTGGAAGCCAGCCAAAGCTTAAAGGTGGGTTTTTCAGACTGATTCAGATTACAAGGTTCATCTTTGCACAATGCAGCAGGTAATAGATTGACCTGAGTTGCACGTTCTGATTTCAGGAGAAGCTTGGACATCAAGTTGCGGAGTAAGTGCAAATTTGTTGTAAGAAAACAGTTGTTTGCATTGATGATCTCAGGGTGAGTGAATTTGCAAAGGTCCTGTTGAATCCGGAAAAGCTTAAAATGTGTCCAGAATCCAGAGTGCTATCTTGGAAGTTGGTGCCAGCTTGCTAGCTCTGCTAGCTCTGCAGGTGTGTATAACATTTCAAAGAACACAGAGATTCCGGCCAAGTACGCTGCTTGGGCGAAGGCACGAAACTTTATACCCAGTACTGTGTGTGCATGTGTGTGTGCATTCTTTGGCTGCCTTCTTTAGCAACTGCAACTAGAGTCTACTAGAGGATTAACCATGGGTTTCATCATTCAAGCCGTCATCCTCAGCTTATCTCCCGTCGAATTCCTGAAAAGGAGCTTGCTCGGAAACAAATTGCGCTTGGTGGCTATCGACTTGGAGATTTCCTGCGCCTTGTAGCACAGCAGGGAGTGGAAGCGCCACCCAGGCAGGGTCAATATTTGATCAGAGTTTTGCTGTTTGGGTCTGAGAGCAGAGCATCAAATGGCAATGCTCGCTATCATTCGCGGTGCCTAAAGCAATCTGGCTCTTTCAGCAGCAAGAAAAAGCTTTGCAGAAGCTCTTCTCAAACCCTGGCAGGAAGCAATCGCAGTCTGGTTGGGACATCACTACCAAGATCTTCGCTGCTCTGACTTTCCTTTTTGCAGCACTCTTGGTGGTGCTAACGATTTGCTTGCTCAAGCTTCGGCGAAGAGTTGTGACGTCTCCAAGCGATGTTGATACCTACGAACTCAACGCTGCATGAAACTTCAGGGGATCCGCCCGCTGAAAGATCTGAAAGGATGATTTTGAATGATGTTGAGAGCGCCTGAAAATAGAAAAAAGGTGATGATTCAAAATGATTTGGGTTGGGTTATGCCAACAATTGAATATTGATTTATTTCAACAAGAAAGATTTATACATTTAGAGGCTTACGCCTGACAGCCGACCACAGGCCAACATGGGAGAGAGGAGGAAGGTGGAAAAGGATGGGTGGTTGCTGTTGGGGCCATGTTGGGGCCATGTTGGGGCCAGCTTGTGCCATGTTGAAGCCATGTTGAGACTATGTTGGCTTTATTCGAAGGATAATGTCCTGTATTCTATCCCACCACATCACACCTGGGTACGGCGGGGCCAAGATAGGTGCAAGCCATGCGGGGCCACGTTAGGCCATGTAGGCCACGCGATGGCTTGTTGAAGCCATCTTGGGGACATGTTGGGACATGTTGGGCCATGTTGAGCCATCTTGGGGCAAGGTTGAGGCCATGTTGGGCCAAGTTGGAACTCAAGGGCATGTTGAGTGGTCAGTTGAGGCTATCTTGGGGCCATATTTGAGAAATTGTGGCGGATAAGGTCGCGAACAAACCACTTCTGATGGAATAACAATGTGGTCAATTTCTCTTCTTTTGCTACCAAAAAATAGATAGAGAAAAATCAGAGTGCAACCGTGCAACTTTCGGAAGTGTGAATAAGAAACTATACAGGTTCTGCTTCCTATGCTGAAAAAGTTGCACGTTTGCACGCTTCAAAATTTGGCAATGTACAGGGGAAGTGTTTCCACATTTGCTGATCTTTCTGTTGCTCTCGGAGCAGCACCTTGCCATGTCCAGAGGGTTCATTTTTGGCACCTGAAATCGGCATACTTTTTGGAGACGCGGTGGGGGCCTCCCTTGTTCGAGGCCCCTGGTTGCCACCTCGCGGTTGCTGTGTCATGTGTGACGTTGCTGTATGTAGCTGATTCGAACAACACGATTCAAGAGAGTATTTGAGTGGGGCGTCAAACACACTCCCAGGGAGGCACCGGATTTAGAATGTTGAGGGCCCAGTTTTGTTCCCTTGTGCACAGCAAATGCATTTCAAAAGGGGTCCAAAAGTGGACCCTCGTAGGATCGAAAGTGGTCCCTCCTGGCGGGTCTGTTTGTGGCCCCTTTATTTCATCAGATGTGCTGAATCAGCTCTGCAGGCTGCCATGTGCGCAAAATCTCAAGCTTGAAGCTACTTTAACACAAACAGCATCCGCGAAAGCCGTCCAAACGCAACCTTCGACCCCTGAGCTGGCTCAAGTACACGTGACAGACCCGGCATCCCCCCATTGCCCCCCGAAACAAAGATCAAAGTTCAAGTTTCTGCAAAGTGGAGACATTTTTGTGAAGCAGCTAGTTGCAGTTCGCAGAGTCTGTGTGTGTGCAGATGCTGCAAAGAATGATTATCTTACTTTGCGGAATCATTGTGTGGAGGGGGTGCGGGGGAACGTGCCCATATTTGAGAAATTGTGGCGGATAAGGTCGCAAGCAAACCACTTCTGATGGAATAACAATGTGGTCAATTTCTCTTCTTTTGCTACCAAAAAATAGATAGAAAAAAATCAGAGTGCAACCGTGCAACTTTCGGAAGTGTGAATAAGAAACTATACAGGTTCTGCTTACTACGCTGAAAAAGTTGCACGTTTGCACGCTTCAAAATTTGGCAATGTACAGGGGAAGTGTTTCCACATTTGCTGATCTTTCTGTTGCTCTCGGAGCAGCACCTTGCCATGTCCAGAGGGTTCATTTTTGGCACCTGAAATCGGCATACTTTTTGGAGACGCGGTGGGGGCCTCCCTTGTAGGGATTCTCCAGCCCATGAACACCAGTGCAAACTCAGAAAAAGAAATAGGAGCTCTCCAGGCCATCAACACCAGTGCAAGCTCAGGCACTCATGCACCCCATGCAGCAGACATCCCTGATCTTGGAGGTTTTGTGCACATACGGTAGGAAAGGTATTGGCACTCGCAACCTGGGGAGCTGCAAACAAAGATCAGCTTTCCAGCCACCCAAAGAAAAAGTACCACAATTTGGCAAAAGAAAAATGGGGCTTTCCAGCCCCAAAAAAAACAACTAGAGGTGCTGAAGATTCTTTCTTGGCAATCCTTGCCAAGCCACACTTTCCAAAGCAGTCTGGCAGGCGCACTACACAGAGCTTCCTGGAGGAGCTGCACACAGCGCATCCTGGCGGAGCTGCGGCGCGCGTGGCCGCCACTGGCCCGCGGCTGCCTCTCGTGTGGCAGGCGCAGTGCATAGAGCATGCTGAAGGAGTTGCGGCGCGTGTGGCCGCCGCTGGCCCGCGGCTGCCTTTTGTATAGCAGGTGCAATACACAGAGCATCCTGGCGGAGCTGCGCATGGCCGCCGCTGGCCCGCGGTTAGCTTTCGTGTAGCTCCTGGCGGAGCTGCGGCGCGCGTGGCCGCTGCTAGCCTGCGGAGGGCTGTCGTGCGGCAGGTGCACTACACAGAGCCTCCTGGAGGAGTTGCTGCGCGTGTGGCCGCTGCTGGCCGCGTTCGTATGGCAGGGGCAGTACACAGAGGCTCCTGGACGAGCTGCTGCGCGCGTGGTCGCCGCTGGCCCGCGGCGGGCTGTCGTGTGGCATGCGCAGTACACAAAGCCTCCTGGAGAAGCTGCTGCACGCGTGGTGGGCACTTACATAATTTTTAACCTTTATCTTGCCATACACCATTTCACCTCCCATTTTCCATATCATTTTATCAGACGCCATCTTTCACACTTTATCTTTGACACACCATTTTTCACACACCATTTTGTCAGACACCATTTTTTATACACCATATTTCACATAATTTTGTCACATACCATCTTTCTCGTACCACTTTGTCATCCACTATCTTTAACACACTATCTGTCACACCACTTTGTCACACACCATCTTTCACACCACTTTATTATACACCATCTTTCGCACACCGTCACAGACCATTTTTTACACATTATTTTGTCACACACCATCCTTGACACACCATTTTTCTTACACAATTTTGTTATATACCATCTTTAGCCATACTATCTTTATTACATTACATACCATTCTTTATCACATTATCTTTTATACACACAATTTTATTACACAGCATCTTTTCC